CATTAATTCCAGGCAGTGCCCTGGACTCTGGTCATTATGGTTCCCTGGGACGAGAGGCTGCCCAGTGGCAAATGGCCGCAGCCTCCTCTGCAGACAGAGGTATCCATAGCCCACCACACTTTCTCTTTGTGGCATCTGTACCAAGGCCTGAGATTTACAGGCAAATAATTGGTTATGGCACCACATTATATCTATTTTGTATGTGTCAGAGGGTAGGTTTCTCAGAGGATAGGCAAGGCAGGAGGTTGGGTTTCATTCACTCATTTATCCATCCATCTATTCAGTATTAATTAAGTGCTTTTTATGGATCAGGATGGAAGAGAGATTACTAAGCTTGGAGTGAACTAACATAGATGCTCATGTTTCCTACCAAGGGATGGAGCGTCTCACCAAATGAGGCTTTAAGGAAAATGTCCCAAAGAATCTGGGAGGCTGAATACTATGAGGAGAAAGTCAAAGAGAAGGCCTTGCTCGGCAGAGAGCCTGCTGGAGCCACCTCCCATCCTGTGTCCTCAGCAGCCCGTCATCTCCCAGGCCGAGGGGCAGAGCTTCAAGTTCACCTCCCCATGTTCCACTTAGTGATTCATCAACCCAGCATCTGAATGCTTAAGGGAAGGACATGTAAATACTGCATCAGGAATCTTAACTCACCAAGGCATTAGTATTTTCAGTAAGACACTAAGGGTTATGATGGTACTGACATACGTGGGAGCATGCTTTTCTCAGAGGACTGTACCAAATCATGAGAAAGAGGGTCACATGATTTGTCCAATTTTTTTGTCATTTTGCCTTCTAAGATATCATTAGTCCCCCTGAATACAGGAAACAGATATCATTTTGTCCTTTGGAAGTGGATCGGTCTTTAGTACATACTCTTCTCAGCTACTGGAACTGTAACATTATGTTTCGAACAGCTAATGTCATTTTATTGGTACCTCTTACAGAAAGCACCTAAGGCATAATTCAGACTTCGATTTTTTTTCTGCATTGTTTGATGCATTTGCACAACTCAAAGAATGGGAGTTAGTGTCCGAGGCAATCAATACCAGAGCTCAGGCAGGTAGCAGAAATCATGAAGGTGGCTTTTTGGGACTGGTCGACCTGGCATGTTCCGGTGGTGCCCAGTAATCACAGTGTCAGTATGGCAAGGTCAGGAAACGTGGTCTTCTCTGAAAAGGTCTTCAACTGGCCTTCTGTGAGCAAAGAAAAAGAGAGCACCAGGTCCTTGGAAGGTCCCTAAGGTGATGAATGTTTCACCTGCCAACCAGTCTCTGTTCTGAGAATTGAAGCAGAATAACTAATTAAGGGGAAAGAGATGCTTCTGGGATCTTTCTTCAGAATGTTTTCCCTTGTAATAATGACTATAATAAAATTACAGATCAAACTGGAAAATTCAGGATAATTCTAGGTGAGCGTGATGAGAAAAAGCAGCTTCCCATGGCCTTAGGGTCTACTGGGATGAACGTACAAAGTAACCTTATTAAGCAAATGTGCTGAGTTACATGGAACCTCAAGGGTGTATTAAGTCCTCAGTGAAGGTCTTTAGAATGAATGAACAAATCAATGTTGTCTGCCCACAAGTATTTAGTGTCAAAGTCAGTCCTGCCATGCTCCACCATCAACCCTCTATCAACTCTTTGCAGTCAGCTGTGGTCTCTACTTCCACAATCCAACCACAATCAGACTCTGTCACTTCCATTCAGCTGAGACTATTTTGATCAAAGTCATCAAATCCAAAGCACACTTCCCAAGTCTGTTTTTACTTGTCCTATGACACTGTTGACTACTTGCTCCTGTTTAAAATGGCCTCTTCTGCCGGTTTCTATTACATAATCCTTTCCTGGTTGTTCTCCCACCTCTCTGGCTCTTCTGGATAAGCCAAACATTCCCTCATCTTCGGTCCTATGGCCCCTTGTGCCTAATTGCATTAATAGCTCTTACAGCACAGTCCTGTCATGGTTTATCTCGGGGTACCCTCAACCTGGACTGTATGCTCTTTTATTGTGTTATTAAGGTTGGTGCAAGCGTAATTGTGATTTTGGCCATTACTTTTAATGGCAAATAGTTTTGCACTAACCTAATATCTGTAGCACCAGGTTCAGTGTCTGGTCCATAACAGGAGCTCCACCATTGAATACATTATCATGAAACGCTTTCCTCTTCATCATTTATGTATGAGATGTGCAGGTAAAATAGGGGAAAGGAAAGTTAAGAATTTACTCCATTTTCAGCCACTGAAATTGCCTCTCATCCCAACAGTTTGCCCAGGGATTCAGGATTCCTTACTCCAAGTTCTCGTAGTTTTCTGAGGGGAATAGGGACCACTTTCTGGACATCTGGAATGTGGCTCTTCCTGAAGAAGGTTAGGTCTCAACCACATTTCAGCATCATGTACTTAACGTTCTAGTTAGATGAATCTATTTCCAATGATCCTCCAAGGAATGGTGGTATTTGGTAGAAGATTGTTGTCACTTTACTGCATCCACTGAGCCCCGGGCCCTCAGGTTGGTGACAACACTACTGACTAAAAACTAGCATCACTGTGTTTCTAGCGGGGAGGAAAGAGGCAATGAGGTAAGAAAATATCCATGACGCATATTCTGCTTATTATACTGCACAGTGTTGGCATAATGCTTAGTCCCTTTGTCTCTGCAGTTGGGTTTCTTGGGTTCAAATTTCAGCACTGCCACCTCCTTACAGTGTGATCTTGAGCAAACTGCTTCATTTTTCTATCCTTTAATATTCTCGTTTGTAAAATGGGAGTGATAATATAGTATCTTAGAGTATTATTTGAAGGATTAATGCAATTATATATATAAAAATCAGAACAGTTGTGGGTAAGGAGCACTGAATAAATATTAGCTGATTGGCCACTGTTTTCCTTTGTGCTACAACTTTGTTCCTTTCCACAGCTTTGCTATGCTCTAAACAGCACACTTACTCAGCTTCAGCAGAGCCTCCTCTCCTCATACTGGGTCACACTGTATGGGCCTCCTTTACTGACCCCTGTCCCTCAGTAAAGTATAAGTTTTCAAGCCTGTTTTCCCCATTTTTTGCATTCTGACTGCCTGCCACAGTGCCTGTCACATAAGAGTAATTAGATGTTGGGGGAATGATGAGAATTTGCAATGGTAGAATCTCCATTTCATAAGCCCTGCATCTATTATAGACCCAGAGTGTTCAGTGCTGATTTGATGAGTACTTCTTGTACAATGTGCTCCACACTGATCAATAATCCTAATAGTACCTATCATTTATTGAATGATCACTGTAATAATCCTATGCTAAAGGTTCAACCACATGCAGTTGCAATTTTTATATGCCAAATATTGGCGGTTTCAAAGGGCCCAACCTAATATTGTATGTATCTTAATTATTTTTATTCTACCAAGTAGAATGAGGTTTTAGCCTCAGTTAGAGATGAGAAAACTGAGACTTGTGGAGGTTGGTGACTTGCCAAGATCCCATAGCTAGGAGGTGGTGGAAGAAAGGCTGGGCCCACCCTGTTACATCCCAGAGCTGATGCTTTGAGACACCACATGGTGAGGGAAGCTGGCTGTCCTCAGGTGCTCTCACTGTAGTTCTGAAGACAGCCATGTCTCAGGAAACTCCCAAAGTAAATAGAAACCTGAATATATGCATACTAAATTGGATGCAATTTCCTGAGACAGTGCAGAAAGCTGGCGTGTCCTGTTCAAAGTTAACAGAGAAGAAGGGTGTAGGCTCTGGGGAAAATCTAACAATGCACCATCCCTTCAGGACATCTTGATTGTTATTTTTTTGTACACTTGCTGGCCTTGGCTTTGGGCCCTAATTACACTATCTTTAAAGAGCAACTAGAAATATTGCTCATTAAACATGAACATGGGAATGGTTAATTTGTTAGGGCGTGGGTGTTTTGAAAGCAAATCATTGATTCGGGGCATTGAACTGAGCACTGCCATTGGAATTGTCTCTGGTGAACACCATATCCTGGTCAGAACTTCGCCAGGATGCATGTTCACTGCAGATGAGAGAAGGACCTACGCCCTGCAATTCCTGGATGGGGTCCATGGTGAGAAACAATCCTAATTGTCATTTCAAAATTATGGCCTCTAAGGGGTTCCAATCAGCATGTCATTTCCCATATGATGGTTAGATGATGTTTATTTAGGATAAACATATTGGTACAGCATCCAAGAATTTTATCAATGTTTAACTTTCAATAAGAGCATCATGGCCAGGTGCAGTGGCTCATGCCTGTAATCCTAGCACTTTGGGAGGCCAAGGCTGGCGGATCACAAGGTCAAGAGATTGAGACCATCCTGGTCAACGTGGTGAAACCCATCTCTACTTTAAAAGTACAAAAAATTAGCCGGGCGTGGTGGTGCGCGCCTATAGTCCCAGCTACTCGGGAGGCTGAGGCAGGAGAATTGCTTGAAATGGGAAAACGGAGTTCTAGTGAGCCGGGATGGTGCCACTGCACTCCAAAACAGCGAGACTGTTTGGACAGCGAGACTCTGTCCCAAAAAAAAAAAAGCATCATAACTAGTGTCACAGCAATTTGCAGGATAGTCTTTGCTTCCACTTGGGAATAACTTTGGATTCAAAATACCTAGTTTTGAAAGCTGAAAGCACGACTTTATTACTTGCTAGGAATAAAGGGCAACTTTGGACAAATTTCTTAGCATGTATCTCTAAGCTTGAGTATCTTCATCTGTACAATGACCATGAGAGCAACCTTGCTAGGCTGACATGTTAATTTGGTTATTTAATATCAGTAAAGCCCTTAGTCCAACATCTGACAGGTCAGTGCTAGCGCCCTTGTCAGGTGTTCCCTGTCACTCATTTAGAAGAGAACACAAGGGTCTATAAAGTAATAGCAGAAGGATATACTCTGACATGATGGGAAGCAGAGGAGAGATGGGTGCCCTTCTCCCAAGGCAGGGAAGCAACCTGCTGGTGCCGAGTGAGTTAAGCCCTTTGCCCCTGACAGTGATCTTTTCCCCCCTGCCTTCCAGCCCCTGAAAATGCACTGCAGGGACTGTGCCCTGGTGACCAGCTCAGGGCATCTTCTGCACGGTCGGCAAGGCTCCCAGATTGACCAGACAGAGTGTGTCATCCGCATGAATGACGCCCCCACACGCGGCTATGGGCGTGACGTGGGCAATCGCACCAGCCTGAGGGTCATCGCGCATTCCAGCATCCAGAGGATCCTCCGCAACCGCCACGACCTGCTCAACGTGAGCCAGGGCACCGTGTTCATCTTCTGGGGCCCCAGCAGCTACATGCGGCGGGATGGCAAGGGCCAGGTCTACAACAACCTGCAGCTCCTGAGCCAGGTGCTGCCCCGGCTGAAGGCCTTCATGATTACTCGTCACAAGATGCTACAGTTCGATGAGCTCTTCAAGCAGGAGACTGGCAAAGACAGGTACAAAGGCACAGGGAGGAAGATGCAGGGGAGGGTGAGGATAAGTCACTGTTGGCTGACTCACTCAAAGCAAAGCTTTTGCTACGGGTTTTTGTTGTGGGCTCCACTGCTCCTGTCATTGCTAGAGTTCACTCTTAGGGTCCTCCGCGTGACTGGGCGGCTCAAGCTGACTTTACAAGGCAAAGTGAAAAGAAGCATGGAGATAATTACATGAATATCTTAGGGCTGAATCCTTAGATTTGGGGAAGAGGCTACACAGCTACTGGCCTTCATGGGTTAAAAGCACAATATAACAGCTTTGTTGCATTTCGGTTTACTTACATGAAGACTCACCAAAAAAAAAAAAGCGTATGGGCTTATTTTTCCCATTCAAAGGCAAACATTTATTTAGTCAACCAATATTTATTGAGTGCCTCCTACTTGCTCAGCACTGTGCTTGGCAGTGGGGAAACAAACACAAGAGCCCACCCTCCAACTATATCAAGTCTTGCACATTTATCAAGTAGTAGCCAGTGGACTGAGGGTCTTGTGAGGAAAGAAAATGGTGCTGTAGATGCGCCCTGGGCCCTGGCCCATGAAACCCAAACTGTTAGCTACAACTCCATATTAAGACATGAAATCAATGCAGTGAGGCACGGAAAGATTTTTTTTTTCCAAAGTAATGGGAAGAGGGGGATAAAATGGAACGGAATAAAATAGAAAAGACATTATCAGCATTCAGCCCACATAGTAAGTTGGCAAGGTATTGTTTCATGAAACTTTTATTTCAGTTTGATAGAGATGGAGATAGATGGATAGGTATTTCTTCTCAAAGTGATGAAAATGTTCTGAAATTAGTGGTGATGGCTGCACAATCCGTGAATGTAAAATAAATATCACTGAATTACACACTTTAAAAAATGAAATTAAACTGTGTGTGTGTCTGTGTGTGTATGTGTGTGTGTGTGTATGTGTGTGTGTGTGTGTCAATCATTATGCAAAAATGTATTTTTCCCTATAGGTTAAAATTTTAGAAATTACTGGTCTGGGAGATGAGCAAAATGCTTTCTCAAAAAGATGAATATAAGCTGAGACCCAGGGCAGTAAGTTTTGGAGAAAGTAAAGAAGGACCTGGGAGGGGGAGAGAGAAACCTCCCTGGAGGTCCAGGGAATCCGATGTGAGAGAACATGCAGTGATTGGAGAAAAGCCCCCTGTGGCTGCAGTCAGGAGAACTTGGGGCTGCGGGTGACACAAGGTGAAGAAGAGAAATGAAGGGACGTGAGCTGGACAAATCTAGGTGGAGAAAGGACTATGAAGCATCAAGGGCCACGGTATAGTATAGTCCAATACCCAGCTCTAGGTTGGAACTCTGGCTCTGTCACTCTCTAGTTGTGTGAACCTAGACAAGTTATCCAACCTTTTAGAGACTCAGTGACCTTATGTGTGAAAAGGGGATAATGACTACCAATCACTAGACAGACAGGTCTAATAATCAAATTGCCTCATTTCCTTAATTCTAAAACCTGTACTGTTACACATTTATGATGTAATTTACCCCTCTTATAAAAATGGTTACTGTGTCAATCACTTATCTTTAAACTAAAGGAGAGCCAGACTTAGTGGTGCATGCCTATAATCCCTGCTACTCGGGAGGCTGAGGCAGGAGGATGGCTTCAGCCCAGGAGTTCAAATTTAGTATGAGCAACATAGCAAGACCCCATCTCATAAAAAAATTTTTCAAATAAAACAATATGATAAGTGCAAGAAAGAATATAAAGCAATAAATCCATTCTTTAGCTAGCAGCTCATTATTAGAGAGTAGTCTTAAAGAAAGACTTAAGTCCAATGTCCCCAAATTCTTTGTGTGGAAGAGCTAGGTAGCTTTTAAATCCTCAAAACCTTGCCTGACTAGTCCTGGGCTGGCCCACGCAGGAGGCATGAGCCTGGTGGAGGAAGAAGAGCTGGCTGTTGGCACCGTGGCCTTCATCCGTGGGCACCCCAGCAGGCCCCATGGGTAACCCAGCCAGCAGATCACATTGGGAATTCCAGTCATCGTCGCCAGCTGCCACAAAATCCACTCATGCATTGACCCTTTGTAACTCACAAATAAGAGAGACTGTCTGTCACTCATTTGAAAGTGTTATTTAATCAAGAAAACATTTTATAAGGAATCAAGAAAGAGGGGAGTTATTTACTTTCATTTTTTACTCATTGGAAAATCTGAAATAAGTAGAAACTGTCTCAACAGAAAACATTTCTCTCTTTTTAGTTTAATGGTTGTTTGCTAAATAAGTATTCCTAAAACACTGCAGCAGTGTTAGCTATTTAGAATAATTGAACATTGTTCTGGACTCCTTAAGAAATCATTTTTAAGCTGATACGTTAGATACTAAGTCATCAGACTCCTTGGCCACTCAGGATCTTTAGAAACTCATCTCGCATGAAGGCATATCCTGCTCACTAAATTCACTAAATTCTGACCAATGAGAAGCTTTTGCTCACCAGGTCTTACTTCCTGGTCATCCTGGCTGGTAAGGATGGAGCCAAAGCTTCGTGGAGTGGCTGCTGGGCCTCCTTCCACAGACATCCATCTGCCAGGGTTCACATAGCCCCGACTCAGAGGAATCACACTTATGAATGCGGAGGATGCCAAAGTTCATGACCGCTTCCAGAAACTTTGTGCCTCTTGCCTTTGGGAAACAGTCTTAAAGAAGCCTCTATTGACTTAATACTCTTAACTTGTAGCCTGCTCCAAGCTGAAAGAAACAAGTCAAAAAAAAAAAATGGCCCTTCAGGACAAACTATTGCTGTAAATTAAAACATAAAACATTTAGTGTATAATGATATTTCTCAGTGTATGCTCTTCTTGAAATCCAACAAAACAGTCACATATACTGATGATACATAAAGTGTAGAGTATCTAACTTGCGGATCTCATGATCTGTACTTTCCTTTTGGGCTAATATTTTGAAGAAATGGGATCATTCAATAGCTTATGATTGATAGCAGTTTCACCCTCCTTAAAAGTGGAGAAAAAAATGGCTCAGGAACAATCTGCAATTAAGAAGCATGACAAATGACATAGATGGCCAAGTGGCATTCTTTGATATTAAAAAGTAACTGTACTTGAAAATAACTTTATAATTGAATAAGGGTACATTAAGAAAATATGATTCAGAACCAATATTATAGTAATTAGATAAAGGAAGCATAAATGAAATAACTGCAGGAAGAATATTTCCATAGAGATTATAAATGAGATTCTGGTGGAGCAGAAAGGCCCTTAATTGTAATTTAGTGTGCACTATAGAATTATCAGCTCAATGTGTTACTTCATCATATAAAAGAATATCTGATAATTTTCCCTAATAAGCATATGACAGCTCTTCATATTCTTTCATTACAGCTGATTAAGTGTAAAAACAGTAGATATTCCTTTGTCAGAAAAATAGTTCAACAAAGAATTTTAGAAAGACAGCACAAAGTGTTGCATTTCTACAGCACGTGATCCCAAAAGGCTGTTATTTAGAAGTCTGGGGAATTTTAAGTGGCACTTTAAAGAACTCTTCACTTTAGTTTCATCGGTCCTCCACTTTGCATTCTCCCCATTTTATCCACAAAGCCTTTTCCTGTGCGGTCATAGCCTCCTGTATTCAGGCTGTGGCTTGTGATCTCTACTGTATCACACAAAACAGAACCAGAGTGATGGGAGAGTTTCTGCCCCTGGAAAAAGCCCTCTTTGGTGTGCCCACTCTCTTAAAAGCAGAGGGAATATAATTGTGATTCCCAGATCAGTCTCCTGAAGGTGTAAGTGAGTTGTCATCCTTTTCCTGGGTTCCACATCCTCCCAGTTATTCACTCATCCAGGTTAGGTCTAGAACACATGGCCAATGCATTGTCATGGCCCATAGGTGAAAACAGCCTCTAACTTAAGGGAAGCCACTTCCTCTTCTTACCCTTTGCCATTCAGTCAGCTCTTCTTCATCCCAGCTCTTTCAGTCTCAAAGGTCTTAAGAATACATAGCCTTGGTGAGAAAGAAGGAAAAGTGTTAATACCTATGTAGGCTGAAGGCTTCTGAATGTCATAATTCCTGCCCCGACTACGGATGGTGGCCCCTATACAGTCATCGGTAGCAGAGTGTTCGAAGAATTTTCTTCAGGGATGCTAAAAAACACTGAAAGGAATGATGAAATTATTTACCTTGTTTGCTCAACCTAGCAATTAAAAGAGGAGGAAGAGATGTCAATATATCAACATACCAAGCTTGGTGCTTTCCGTGCATGCTTGCCATTTAGCTCTCAAGTAGCCCAGGGGACAGAGATTCCTATGCCTGCTTTATAGATAAGAAATGAAGAGTCAGAAATCAACAGTAACTTGCCTCAGGTCATCCAGCTGGTTATGATAAAAACAGGTAAGATTCAGACCACGTTATTCCCATCTTTAGGAGCTTTTAAATGTACTTCCTGGGATATTACTAGGTCAAAATACAATGGAATAGGGGAATGAATGAGCAAAGTGCTTAAGAAATAATAGAAAGTTGAAGCCATGATCCTCAGAGATGACCAAGTCACCCATGCTTGTCAGGTATTGGACAAAATGAAGGACTCCTTAAAAATGTCCTCTCACTCTCTCTTTTTTTTTTTTTGGTCCTTATACGAAATGGAAATAATGACACAAACTGAAGGTTTTCCTTCTTCTCAAGGATGGGTGCTACACAGTGCAAGTAGAAAAGTCTTTCTGCACCTCTGTTATTCTCATCACAAATGGTGCTATGTCTGGGCAAAGTCAGACAGTCTGACCTTGGGGATAAGGTGTTTGAAACTGGCTAATGAGGCATGCCATAAGCACTGAAGGAAAAGTAAAAGCAGCAATCCCTGAAGAATTGAAATTAATATCCACAGCAATGTAGCATGGTAAGCCAAGTCATTCTCGCAGGGTCAAATTAGACCTTAGTGTTATGTCCCCACAGTTATCCTAAGACATGGCATATGGTAGATGCTCATTACAGATGTCTGAATGGGAAAATTCATGAATGGTGGAGTGCACCAGTTCATTCCTTAAATTTTGTCAATTTCTGGTCTTCTAATAAAAATTGATATGTAAAACAAAGCAAATATTCAGTTAAATATAAGCATTCCTGTGGCTCTTTTCCTCTGGTCAGTAGCACATACCCAAGGGAGTGTGCTCTTCTTATGGAAAGACATTCAATCAGGATGTTGGTGTTAGTCTACATGAAGGCAAGCTTTCACCCTAACTTCAATTAATCAACCAATTGATTAATAGATAGATAAATGCACATGCATGTTTATTTATATTTAATAAGCTACCTATTATCTAGTCTGTTTGGGGAACAAGGAGAATTTGTAGCTAGTCAAATTCTTGTAGTGTTCTCATTAAGAAAGAGTTGTTAAACAGGGACTGTAATAAGAAATTGAGTAGTGGTAACATACACTTAGACATTGAAATACTGATCATCTTTGATGATGCAGAAGTCCCTTGAACATCTTTTATTGTCACAAATTCAACATGAGCATTAACATCAATTCTGATTGTACTGTGGAATATGGTGACGTTAGTAAGAGATGTCAATTTGGTAAAGTTCCAAATATTTATCAAATGGAGAGAGAGAGGGAGAGACTCTGTTTATAGTAACCCTTACGCCAGAAAGAATTAAAGATGGTAGTGGGTATAATGGTTACTTTACCAGCTTGCAGACTTAATTATTGTTCCTTCCAGGAAGATATCCAACACTTGGCTCAGCACTGGCTGGTTCACAATGACAATTGCACTGGAGCTCTGTGACAGGATCAATGTTTATGGCATGGTGCCCCCAGACTTCTGCAGGTAGGATTTATTCTGCAAGTGTAAATCATCAGCTGTGTTGTGCAGGGTTTATAAATATCAGTTTCTGAATATCAACCATGAAACATGTCTAACTGTCTTCTTGAAGCAATTAATTAGCATGTCCCAAGTTCTCATTCTAGAAACAACAAACAGCATTTAATTATGTGATATAAAATATTGAAGGTTTTTGTTTGTACTGCTGGAGAATAAATCCATCGTGTGGGCTTCATTTGTCCTCTGAATATTTATCAGCCAAAAGTAATGCAATAATTGGCATACTATTAATGGTGAACAAGCATTAAGAAATATTAGTTTTACTCTCATTTCAAAGGAATCTGATAATTTTTTAATGAATTAAAGAGAGCAATTCCTTTGACAGTGAGGCCTTTTTTTCTAAAATTAAAATATTCCTGTGAGCCTCCCTCCCTTGCCACATCAGTGGCCTGGGCTTACACTTCTGAGGCCAAAAGCACAGGCATAATTAATTTGAGGTACACTTTAAAGGGAACATGCAACATCCCTGTTGCCACCTTAACTTTCCTCCTGGCATGTGCTCAGGCAGAGTTCAGGGTATACCACAGATGCACTCAGCAATATTCAGGGCCTGACTTTTGGAAGCCTGCTTGAAAACTCACCTGTAATTTAAAATAGGGAGGCCAAAAGTTCCAGAAAGTACCCTAGTTTTGGGGAATGCCTGATTGCCTGCATGTGGCCTCAATCCCAATCTTCAAATGGCAAAACCTGGGGTGGGGGACATTTTAAACTTCCTCCTTAAAATGTGTGCTTACTTATACTATCTGGTGTTTTATTTGTTTACTTTTTCTTACAATATCTTTAAGGCCATGAGTATTTAGGCAAAAGCTGCAATTTTGGGGGTTTAAAGCATGTAATCAAGTAGTTACCATTTTGCCACTCTTCCCTTTTTTTTTTTTTTTGAGAAGGCGTTTTGCTCTTGTTACCCAGGCTGGAGTGCAATGGCACAATCTCAGCTCACCGCAACCTCCTCCTCCTAGGTTCAGGCAATTCTCCTGCCCCTGCCTCCTGAGTAGCTGGGATTACAGGCACGCACCACCATGCCCAGCTAATTTTTTGTATTTTTAGTAGAGACGGGCTTTCACCATGTTGACCAGGATGGTCTCGATCTCTTGATCTCGTGATCCACCCGCCTCGGCCTCCCAAAGTGCTGGGATTACAGGCTTGAGCCACTGCACCCGGCCCCACTCTTCTCTCTTTTTAACCCGAAGATCAAACACAGCAATAATATTAATTGATATGGAAGAGTCAGGCCACAAATGAGGAGAGGTACAGACAGAGCAGAACTTGGACTACAGGTCAGGGTCAAAAACACTGGGGCCAGGCTGCACAGGTGTAAAGCCTGGCCTGGTCACTTAACCCACCTAGTAAGACCTTGAACAAGTCACTTAGTGTCTCTGAGTCTCAGCTTCCTCATCCATAGAAGTGGATGTGATAATAATAGACTCTGCCTCAAAGAGCTGTAGGCAGATTAAATAAGCTAATACATGTGAAATGCTTGGAACAGTGCCTAGGAAGTACATGGCAAACACAAGGCAAGTTAGCTGGAATCCTCACCCACTTCTGCCTCACTTAACTCACTGGCCCCATGTCCCTGTTTAACAATCTATGTGCAAAAAGTAACTAGAATGGCATAAAAAAGCAAACTGCCTCCTCAAACCAACAGGCTAACAGAGACAGTGAGAATGGCACTTATGGGCATGCAAAAAGCCATCAAAGTTGATGGTTATACAGCAGATATAATTATGCAATATTGCCATTAGGACGCCAGAAAGAAAAAGCATGAATAAATTGAAATGTTAATGACTTCAAGCGTTCAAGGAAATATTCCATTTATTATGGAAAACAAATGAAAGGCAAGTTAACCTGTCATTTCTCTTACTCAGAGTTAGTTCATCACAGCTTCATGTACAGTAGGATGGAAACAATTTATGGAAAATACTCACAAAGAAATTAAGATAATGTCAATGCATTATATATTGCCACTGGCTCTGGGTTTCTGTTCCTAACAGCTCTCATACCCAAAGGTTTGATAGTTGTTTGCATAAGATGGTTTCAGCAAGAACTCTTCCAAAGGACCCTGTGCCCGAGTTCTGTCACAGAAGTGGAGTGTCATCTGGAGGGAAGGTTCAGGGCTGGAAAGAGCTTCCTGCTCAGTCATAAAGCCTGTTTAAGGAAGGGTAAGAAGGAAGACCAGGAGCGGCACAGTTGCATTCCCAAGTTCCATTCATCTGCATTTCCAGGACATGTGGACTGAACCACGAGGCATCTGGTTTCAAATTGTGGGGCCTTGAGCCTTGCTTTCCTTGTTTGTAAAATAGGAATAAGAAAATAAGAAGAAGAACAAGCAGGTCATGGTGAGAATTAAATGAGATCATAGATGTAGTGTGTTGGATGCAGTACCTAGCACACAGCATTCGGGAAGGAGTATCAATATCATTTATATTAATAAGATATGTAAAATAATTTATATTATTAATATTATCCCAAGCACTTGAGAGTTGCCCTGAAAGATACCAAGAATTTTGAGTGGGAGGCTGGGCATGGTGGTCCACAACTGTAATCCCAGCACTTCAGGAGGCTGAGGCGAGCAAATTACTTGAGCTCAGGAGTTTGAGAGCAGCCTGGCCAACATGACGAAACCCTGTCTCTACAAAAAATATAAAAATTGGCTGGACATGATGGTGTGCACCTGTAATCCCAGCTACTCGGGTGGCTGAGGCACCAGAACCGCTTGAAACTGGGAGGCGGAGGTTGCAGTGAGCTGAGATTGTCCCACTGCCCTCCAGCCTGGGCGACAAAATGAGGCATTGTCTCAAAAAAAAAAAGAATTTTAAGGGGGGTTCAAAGAAGAGGACACAGCTTCTTGCCACCTGGAGGTTTATCATAAGCCTTATTCATGCCAAAATATAAAAAACACAGACAGCAAAGCCACTTGCCAGGTTACTATAAAAGGAGGCAGCTTTGCAATCTTCGTTTAAGAGTTAATAAGTCTGTAAACAGTATCTTCCTCACCACTAGAGAATGAAAAAGAAACTGGTAGGTATCCACTACTAGTCTGACTATTTCCTCTTTAATCTTTATTTTGAAAGAAGCAATGAAATATCAGGGGCTGAAAACATGGTGCATATATCATGAGCTCCGTGGCGTAAGGAGGTAAGCTATCACCAGGGCCAAAAATGGCTGGGGATGGTTTTGTGAGGTGGCAGCACTCACACTGGTTGGGCGTATAGCCTCCCTGAGGGCAGAGTTCTGTGTATTTAGTTCAGCGTTGGATGCCTAGAACACAGGACAGCAGATATTTACTCTACCAGCATATGGCAGGCACTTCATAAATATCAAGGGAATGAATGGCTCTATCCTCTACTCTCTGTAGTGCTATAATAAACGGTGTTGTGTATGGATAAAAATAACCATTTCTGGCCGGGTGCGGTGGCTCACACCTGTAATCTCAGCACTTTGGGAGGCCGAGGCGGATGGATCACAAGGTTAAGAGATCGAGACCATCTTGGTCAACACGGTGAAACCCCGTCTCTACTAAAAATACAAAAAAATTAGCTGGGCATGGTGGCGCATGCCTGTAATCCCAGCTACTCAGGAGGCTGAGGCAGGAGAATTGCCTGAACCCAGGAGGCGGAGGTTGTGGTGAGCCGAGATCGCACCATTGCACTAGACCAAAACTCCGTCTCAAAAAAAAAAAACATTTCTGCCTCTCAGAAGCTGTGACCTTGAGAAAGTTACTTGACCTCACTGAGTCTTAGTGACTGAAATTGGGCAAGTTATCTAATGCTCCCTCTCAGAAGCCTCACCTGCAAAATGGTGACAAGGATTATCATATCTCTTGCATTGAGAGCTTATATGATAATTCTATGAAGTCATAGATGAGGAATGCTTAGCAAAGTTCCGGGGTCTGTTCAGTACATAGAAAGTTATGAGGTGAAAGAATTCACTGATATAAAATTGGTGAATTTTACAGAATTGGCATTATGTGGCTACCAGCTCCTTGCAGGACATCTCATGGGCTGCTCAAAGTGTGCCTAGCCTTTCTATAGCTTCCCTAAAGTTCCCAGTGTCTCACTGCAATGAAGAGCTAACATGGAGCCAGGTTTCAGCAAACAAAGAGAGCAAGCTGTTCACTTTGGGCAAATTAACCATTTCAGACCATAAGACACAATTGGTACCCTCAGAAAAGTCACTAAATAAATCACAAGCCTTTTATTCATTCAGCTAACTCGTGCTCGGCACCAGGGAGCTAATCAGAGATGAATGAGACAAGGTCTCTGCCTTCAGCAGCATCTGACCCACTGAGCTTTATTGGACCATTTGTCTCCAGCTTTCAAACTGGACTCAGAGAAGTTCTCACATTCCTCTGATTCTATCAGGTGGCACAGGGACAAGGAGCCAGGACAACAGGAATATTGGACCCTTCCACCCCACTTGGTCAGGGGCAGACCCACTTGGATCTGTTTTGCTTATGGGCTGTTGTATAAGATTTCTTTTCAACAAAAGATTCCCTGACAAATAAGAACTTTAAGAACCTCTGGTCTAAGACACAACCCTGCTGCTTTCCAATCTAAATCAAACTCTTTCACACTTTCCAGGATAGTTGAATCATCATCTTTGTACTATCCCAAAGAGAATGTCAGCTGTCATATGCATGGTGTGATGGAGGGGAGGCAGTAGGAGAGAGAAAAGTGCTCAATTATATCTTAGGGAGCAAACAGCCAAGCAATCTGTGAGTGCCTGATCTCCAAGGGGCGGGGTGGGTAGCCTGGAGAGTCATTTCCCATCAGCTGTCCTGGAGGTCTGCGCCTTCTCATCTCACCCAAAGGGCCTGAGTTACTTCTAGGAGTCATTCATTGGCAAGAAAACTTCTAGCACCCCCTAAAAGTATTAAGCCCATGGACTTTTTAGGAAGAAAGATAGCATCACATTCATATTTAAATCCACAAATGGAAGTGGTAGAC